GGCTCCCGTCCCCTCTAAAGATTGACCCCCCACCCACAAAACCTTAAAAGGCCCCAAAGGTGTCCCGCAGCTGAGTTGTCGTGCGTCGGAGCCGATGAGCTTGGTTCCTTGTGCATAGATGGGAGAGAGGTTCGGCCAGGGAGCTTAATTCTGCATTTGCGGCACTCGAGAAGTAGTAGCTGGGGCCTGTTTTAGCTTAACTGGGAGTGCTGGCTTACACTCCGTAGGCGCTTTGCTTGGGAAATGGCAACAAAAGCTAGGATTAAGTCACAGATGGTGTGTTGTTTTTTGTATTCTTATTGTTTGAACTCAAATTTTGCTGCAAACTGTTCACAACGAATACACGAGATCAAAAAAAACGCTCCAAAACCCTATTAGGTAATTTGCAGTAGGCTTTCTGGGATAGCCGTTACAGATCATTTTGCTACAGAACAAATACTAATACAACTACTTCAGTCTAATTATTTTGACTCCAAACTGAATCCTAATGAGATCATCTTGGTAATCATGTATTGCTATTCTGAAGCATACCACCCTAGACAGTTTCCCTCTCATTATCCATTAAGCTTCATAAAGTAGCAGACCAAAGATGCTAAATAGTTTTGGGTATGTTTGGACTTTTTTTTCTCCCTTTATTATTATTTATTCACAATTCCTGATCTAACTGACAGAAATAACTGCCTCTGTAGCATCACTGGCTAGTGCATTTATGCTTTTGTTTTCAATCTTTCTTAATTAAATTCTTAACTCAATTAATAATATTCGTAATTCTTACCTGCTTTTCAATGGAGTATTTCAATGAAGTGGAAGGAAATAAGCATAGCTCTATGTGAATCTTGTGGTGAATACACGGTATCTGTCTAGTATCATGTCTATACATTCTTAAAAGCTTGCTTGGAGGATGGTACACTGTTGAAAAGGATTATGCATTGATTTTTGTCCTCTGATTGCTTTTTGTTTCACAGAGACATGCTTCCAGAGCAGAAGGGCCTTGTACTGGAGTCAGCGATGCTGATAAGGTTCTACTGATTTTTTCCATAGTTAAATTTGACTCCAACTCTTCCAATCCATCTTCATTCTTTCTTTCCTTCCTTTTTCAGTTAACCATCACAACCATCTTTTATCTTCTACATGACACGAACCAGCCATCAGCTAATTTTGTTTCCATCATTTTAATTTATTCATATGCTCTACTTTTGTTTTTCCTCATCCATGTTTTTTGTGCAGAGTTCACATGAGACTCTGGACATAGTGGAGGAGAAGAAGCAGGCAGAGGTTGGGATAGAAGAAACAGTAGTCGTAGACGAAACCAACAAAGGGAAAATGCAAGTTGCCACTGGTGATGGGGAAACAAGTAAGGTGAAGCATCTGTCAAAAAAGGACTCTTCATCATTGCCATCAGATAGTAGCAGCAGCAGCAGTAGTAGTGAGAGTGAGGATGAAGAGGTGAGAGAATGCCAGCCCCATCATAGGGCAATTGAGGAAGTCATCAGGGAAGAACAGGAAGAAGAGGAAGACATGAAAAGGAAAGAACCTGAAAAAAAATTACAGCAAGTGGAAGTTACACCAGAAGGCGGTAAACTAAATGTTCCAGTTGAGCAGACACAAGTTACAGCGGAAGATTCGGTCCAGGAAAATGCAGTTACCATAGCTACGGAGGAGAAGAAATTGTCAGAGGAAATTAAGCAAGATTTAGGTGAAGAAAAAGAGGAAGAACAGCTCAAACTCAAAGGAGATGTGTCTCGTGTTGGCAGTGATGTTGTACCGCAAATAATTTGTTGTTGTCAGGTAAATGGTAGAACAGTTTGACAACTAGATTAAGCAGAGATATTTCTTGGGGTGAAAATATACCTGCCTTTCTTCTTCTCCTGTTCCTCCAGCTCTTCAGGCATCCAACAAGATTCAGATCATTTGGAAGGGGAAACCACTGATGAGCAGTGAAATTCTGTCTCCTTCAGTCATGGTTTCAGACTTTTTGCTAGAACTAAGTGAGAATAACCAGTAAGGCAAACCTTCCAAAGACTGATGTCTCCTTTTTATCTCCCTTTATTTTATATGCATATACATAATGTATATTTATTTTTTATGTTTTCAGTGTTCTGAGTCTCGTCTTGTCCATTTGTCAATTGTTTTTGACATGTCCATGACACATAATTGCGATTGAAAAGCTATTGCCAATTGAAATTAGAAAATACTCATCATTAATTTTTGCTCCTTTTTTCCCCCCTCATTACTCACTGCTTTTCTTGCCATTTTTTTTTCTTTTAAAAATGTAATGGATTTATAGACTAGAATAAGCGTGGCTTGGAATTGCATAGGTGAGAGCACTGCGTCGTAAAGGGATGAGACATATATCACGATCTTACGATGAAGTTTTCTAGTGCAGTAGCTCTTCAGGGAAGTGTGCATAGGTTCCATTCACAAGCAGTTGTTTTAAGCTGGACAAGGTTGAAGGGTTTATTACTGGGTAAAGGAAGAAATGAAGTGCAGGGATACATCTCTATAATTTAGCATGATGCTCTGCTGAGTTTTTCAAGAGTTGGCTGGGTTTTTCCTAGTTATCTACCTGTTTGTTCTTGTGATGGTGACAATTTTACTGGTTTTCTGTGCACTTTAATCCAAACAACTTACCTTCTTTTTATTTTTCTGTTGTCTTGCATACACAGGTGTTTGCTAAATAATGTAAAAGAATCAGTTGCAGGTACCCACACTTCGTGAGAACATAAATATTTTTGAGGAAGAGGGAAGGGCTCCTTTGTCTACAGCTGTGTGTGAGGTTAAAAAATGGCTCTCTTTTTTCCTGGGATTTGCTCCCATCCAAAATCCATGGGACATAGCAAGTGATGCATTTAGAAGAATATCAAAAGGCTTTACTACTTTTTTTTTTCCTCTCTAATTTTTAAATACCTTAAAAATCTGCTCCAACAGGATAAGTCACAAATTCACTGCTTTACAGACCCCTGGTTAATTACTTTGTTTGTGATACTGCAGAGAACACCACTAGCTAACTCTGAATGGTTAAAAAATCTTTTTAGGATTGTTTCAAAAGTAGCTGTTGATTTTCAGAATTTTTACATTGAATGTTAGACTGCTTAAAATTCATTTGTCAAAGATGTTTTTCTGTTCTAGATGTAGTACACATTAAAAAGTTAAACTTTAACATAATTTCCTTGGAATTTCTGGTCCTTACTTGCAGTTTGACTGAGCAATGATAGATGTTTTTCCAAGATTCTAATATGGAGCTTATCCCTTTGAGCTATCGATCACCTTCTTTATGCAAACTAAGATTTTTTTTTTATTTTTTTCCCCTATCATTTGTTTTTCACACATTTGCAATACCTGTGTTGTAACATGATTTTAGTCTTCTGTGATATGCACTGTTGGCTGAAAAACAGAAATGTGATAACCTCATTAGAATCACAGAATACCAGGTTAGACGACAGACCTCAAGGATCACCTAGTCCAGCCTTTCTTTGGAAAAGCATCTAGACAATAAGATGATCCAGCACCCTGTCCAGCTGAATCTTAAGAATGTGCAATGTACTTGTACTTATTAAGCCTCGTCTTTTCCATGTGACTCTTGTAAAAAGGGGATCTCCATTTTCTTTGTAGCCACCTTTTAAATACTGGAACAGGGCGATAAGGTCCTCCCTTAAGCCTTCTTTTCACAAGGCAGAGCAAACCCAATCCTCTCAGCCTTTCTTCATATGGTAGCTTCCCAGTCCTTTGATCATCTTTGTGGCCCTTCTCTGGACCTTCTCCAGCCTGTCCACATCTTTTTTTGTACAGTGGTGACGAAAACTACACATGATATTCCGAGTGTGAATGCTAGGAATATTAGGAGATGAAAATTTCCTACCATGTTATATAGATGATAGAGCACTGGTATATTAGTCTTCATTTCACTTTGCTTATTTATTGCATGCTTTTTGATTGGGAAGGCAGTCGACTACTTGTCTTACTGTTAATGATTTTCTTGAGTTTTTGGTCGTATTTTCTTGGTCCGCTTTACAAACTTTGTTCTGTCTTTTGAAATGATTGGTTATTTCTTGCACAACAGGCTCCAGTAGTGAACACAGAGATGCTAACCATTTCAGATGAGAGAGAACAGAGAACCGAAATCTCCACTAAAGAAGTTCCAATTGTTCAAACAGAAACTAAAACTATCACATATGAACCTTCACAGGTATGGCAGCTGAGTTGTATTGTTTGCAGGCTGGTTTGTTTTGCAGTTACTTGTAGATCAAAATAGATAATGTCCAAAAAATGCTTTTCAAAAGCATATACTTCTTTGTGGCAGCTGAGATTGTACTTTGGCTATGAATTAGGTAAGTGAAATGTTTGTATACAAAGCAGTATTACTTCTGAAGTTCTAAGTGTTAGGTTTCTTTGATTTGGTTTTAATCTAAGGACTTAGTTGCTGTCTGCAAATGTATAACTCATTTTTAGTTTTGGAAACCTGATTAAAATATCTCATTGCTCCTGAAAGGAATATGTAACTTTGATCATAAATTTTCCACAAGAATGAACCATCACAACAGTCTTACATGACTAAGTAAACTTGGATGGCTTCTATATAAATTTCAGTTCTAACTGAACTGAACAATGTGTTTAGTAACAAACGCAGCCTTTTCTTCTGTGAAGACAAAGCTTTAAAATGCTGAAGTAGAGAAATACTATTTTTTTTCCCTTACAGAGTGGTGGTGATACTGGTGTGCTGCTGAGTGCACAGACAATTACATCAGAGCCAATTTCTACTACCACAACTACACACATCACAAAGGTAAAATATAGTAATGTCTCTCTGAACTAAAAATAAATCTCCAAACCCTCAATATCAAGTCTTAATGTTTAAGTTTCTCATATATCTCTTAATTTATTGAAGAAAACTGCCTTCAAGTGGGTTAGATTCATTCCAGGCCTGTATGAGAGTTAACCTTTCTGTATGCAGGTTTTGAACAGAGAGGCCCTGATGAACAGGCCTGGGAAAAGGCCTATTCTTAAGCCAACAGGCCATAATGAATGCACTGGGAACACGGCAGGGAAAAGGAGAAAGATATGATTAGCTTTTTGAGTACTTTTTATAGGTCTTATTTCTGTGTTTGTCAAATAAATACGTACCAAAGTTTTTACAGTTTTGGTACTGTCGTTTCTCACCAATACCTTAACGTGGACCCATTATCCCTCGTCTTTTCATATATTGGTCGTTGTTAATGTGCCTCATTTGTCTGAGGTCCTTAGGAGCCCTGCTGATGGCATCAGTTATAAGGATGAACTGAAACAATGTTTTCTTAGCCTAGTGTTGATGATCCTTGGGTTACTGTGTTTAGAGCATATTTTAAAATGGGTTATAGTAGATTATTTTGCAAGCGTATTTCAGAGCTGAGTTAGGTGCTTTGCATTCCATGCTTGAAAAGGAAAGCAAAACTGAGTGTTAACAGGACATCACATCTGTTTTGGTCTTGTTTCATGCCAGAGTTGTGGTGGTGATTATGATAATTGTCATTGTTGTTGATTTATATACATATATATTTATCAAATTTTAGGCATGCCCCAACAACACAATTTTGAACTCGTGTATCTTAACTCATAACATAGTTTTCCAAGAAAACTAGGAAGCGTTGTTTAGGATAAAACAAAAAGGAAGAGGGAAAATTAAGGTGTGAGTTTGGGACTTCTTTCCTCCCAAGACAAGAATTTTCACATCATCGCAGAATGGAGTAGTAATTTATTGCTCACTGGATAAATATTCAATATATATGTTCTAAAGGTTGAAATACTCTCAAGGTTGAAAGTTTTATTCACAGAATAACAGTGAAAGGATGATGTTGGAAAGTTGTTGGGTAAGAGTCACATGAAATAAACACAGAATTTCAAATGTGTGGGTTATGTTATACAAACTAGTCAAGAGATCCTTATCAGTCTCCTGCTCCCTTTTGCAGTCATTAAGCCACAACTATTTTAGGAAAAGTCTTTATTCAGCTACAACAGCTAGAAGGGGAAAGAAAAAAGTTGACATTTACTTGTCAAGTTCAAATGTCAAATAATGCTCTTTTTTGGAAGGAACCATTAAAGAAAATGGTTTGAGTCTTGTCTTCTACTTAAAAATTGCTGAGATTACTGTAAAGCAGTAGATCCCTATCTTTTCATCCTACTGTATGTTGAATCAAAAGACTCTGAAATATTCTGAACATAACTTTCTATTTTACATCCCAAACTGTTCATTATTGTTAAAGGGACCTGACAAAACAAAGTTTTAGTACTTTTAACAGAGTCATCTTGGATCTTGTCTGATAGGGTCAGTGTATCTTAAAAAATATTTTATTCTCTTCTTACACAGGCTGATTTAAAAAAAAAAGTATAATGTTCTTTCTGTGAGAATTTTCCTACAAGGCAAAAAGTTTTGATCAAAGTAAGTAAGAAAGAAAGAAACAAAGCACAAAATTATTTCCATCAGCAATGTGAAATATGCTGAAAATACTTCCCTAAGATCCAGAGCATAAGCAATCTGGGTTGTTCCTGGAATGTGTCAATGAGAATTTCCTTCTCCCTGTGATGAACGTATTGGAGTGTGTCCAGAGGAGGGCCATGAAGATCATCAGAGGGCTGGAGCACCTCCACTCTGAGGACAGGCTGTTGTTCATCTTGGAGAATAGAAGGCTCTGAGGAGACCTTCTAGTGGCCTTCTAGTACTTAAAGGGAGCCTACAGGAAGATGGGGAGGGACTCTTTATCAGGGAGTGTAGTGATAGGACAAGGGGTAACAGTTTCAAACTGTAAGAGTTAGATTTAGATTAGTTTTAAGGAAGAAATTATTTACTATGAGGCTGGTGAGACATTGGAACAGGTTGCCCAGAGAAGTTGTGGCTGCCCCTGCCCTGGAAGTGTTCAAGTGTTCTCCGATCTAGTGGAAGGATTCCCTGCCCATGGACGGAGGGTTGGAACTGGATCATCTTTAAGGTCTCTTCCAACCCAAACTATTCTATCATTCTATGATTACAAGGATATTTTCTTCCCTTTTTGTGCCATTTGTAGATGGTAAAAGGTGGGGTATCAGAAACAAGAATTGAGAAGCGCATTGTCATTACTGGAGATGCGGATATTGACCATGATGAGGTGGGTATGTAAGCTGTTAACACTTAAAATATGGTTTTTGTAGCCCAGTGAGATCGAGATATTTCAGAAACCTGAAATACGAGAAAGGTAGAGAAGTTGAGTAAGAGGACATAGAAAGACCCTGAGACTGTTAATTGTGGCAAAGTTGTTAAATGAATATATCTGAAAGAAAAACAGCATTTTTAACTTGGCGCCATAGGTCATATGAATGGATTTTGTACTATTTTTAAAGGGATTGCTTTTTCTGAAAGAGACACAGTTTAGTGTTTCGTGCTGCTTTTGCCATTTGGGAGGAAAAGCATTACTAAATCTTATTTTGATACATTCATCTGGATAGATGGGAGTCTGTACTGTACTGTGTCAGCATCAGCAACATCTGAATGCAGCATTCATTTTGACTCAAAGCTTTGAAATATGTTAAAGCATAAACTGCTCAAATTTAAAAAATAGTTTTTGACTTATATCCGTAGAATTTTGTGTAACAAAAGTAATTGTCAATTTACTGAAATCTTATCTAAGCACATTTCATCTCTATCAGTACTAAAGCAGTATTTTACAGCATCTTAGAGACTAAGGTTAAATTCACTTCTTCCTGCCCAATTAAGAAGGCTGAATTTAAGCAGTGCACAGGAAAATAATGAAGAAAGTGCAATTATCTATTCTTTGTGGTGATGATTAGATCGTTTTTATTGTTTTTCATCTAAGAAACTATAGTAACAAAGTCGATCAACAGTCACAGGATAATACCTACCTTCTACGTAAAGTTGCAGTGAATCCAGTTTGAGCTTTATGAAAGTTACACAAATCAACATAACAGGATTTAATTTAACTTCTTGGTAATACACTTAGTAATATACTGATTGCTCTTGAGGAATTTAATTTCACGTTTTGCTTCGCCTCTGGAAACTGACTCTTGACAAATTGAATCTCTTCTCTATTTAAACAACAGGGCTGTTCAGCATCAGGCATGCCTTGTTTGTCTTGACACATGTTCAGTGCACTTCGGATGTCTAGAAAGGTCCCACAACCTTTAACATACCAGACAATTCTCTAAGCCTATTTTTTTTTTTGAGATGAGTGACCAATAAAATAAAAAGTTAAATTGTAAGAAAGAAAGTACAAAATAAAATTTTTATCACTGAAGTTCAAAGCAGCAGTGAGAAGCTTTTAAGAGATTTAAGAAATCTCTATCAGTTTTTCTTTGGTGTATACGAAGCTCTTTAAAAGTACAGACTACATGCTGAATGCTTATTCTTTTGTCTTACAGTTCCTTACATCACTAAAACAGTTTTCAATAGGAAAATAATACTTTGTTTTGCAGTTTCATCACACAAATGCTTCTATTAGTAGTTTTAAAGACTTTTTTTCATTGTTTATGATTTGATTGTAAACACAGATTCATAAATCTCAACACCTACTTCCTTTTAAATCCTCATTTATACTACAGAGATTACTCTTGGCATACTGTAAAAGATAGACTAATAAAAATTTGTTGGGATTAATACATCAGCAAACAACAGTATTGTACCAGTGCGCACTGTGCTCCTCTGTGCATATTTGCTTAATAGGACTTTAAATTCGTTATCATATAATAGTTAAGGTGGCTAATGTTGGAGTTTCCAGTCTCTCTTCAGAGTTAATTTTTTCTCCTGTTTACCACGTATGGCTTAGGAATAGAATGGAATATTTTAGTTAGAAGGGATGTACAGCAATTGTTTCATTTGGCTGCCAGCTGTCTATATTGTCTTAAGATAAAATTTCTTAAAATGTGTAGGAGGGATTATAAGACACTGAGTAATAGGTGTATTTACATTTCCCTAAGCTAGAGACAGTTCTCTTGAACTAGTAAAAGAAGAAAAAGGATATTCTTGTGCTGAAAAAGAAATCCGTTAAGATCTTCTTCCAGACTTTCAATACAATACTTAATACACATTCCAAAGTATCTTTCCATTTTGTTCAGGAAACTGAGGGGAACACTTACTTTTTCTGTACTGTGTGCATTCTTACTAAGTCTTTATTTACTAAATCTCTTGCAGAAGTTCAGGAACTTCTGGAGTATATATACTTTTTTTCTCCTGAAGGAGAAAAATAAAGGATAACTTTATGGTTATTTGTTACTTCCTGGAAATTTTGGTGAATATTTAGAAGAGCGAATTGTATTCTTTTTTGTTGTGTTTTGTGTTTTGGGAATTGATGGGTTGAGTTTTGGGTTGGTTTTTGGTGGGGGGAGGAGAGGGATGTTGTATTTTTATTTTTGTATACCTGAGCCCTCTCAAGTCCAGGAATTTAGAGTGCTGAATGGTTATAACCAAAATTTCTGATGCTGCTCTCCCATTCTCTGTCCCCACGTGAACGTCCTTTTGCTGTTGCTGAGTTACGTATTTTGAATACGTTTGCAGGCCCTGGCACAGGCAATCAAAGAAGCCAAAGAACAGCACCCTGACATGTCTGTCACAAGAGTCGTGGTGCACAAAGAAACTGAACTTACTGAGGAAGGTGAAGAGTAGAATCAAAAATGCCCTCAAGCTAATACTTCAGGTAAGCTTATGTAGATAGTTAATGTGGGAAAACGTATCATTGGTTTTCTGTTGCATTCTGTGATAAAAGGCTTGAAAAATATGGGGTATCTTTGATATATGCTTTCATAAAACGGTGAGTTGAAACAGATGCTAATAGTAGACAGTGTAAGAGTTTTTATCTGAAGTCCAGTCTGACATTAACCTAAATTGCAGATTTTCTTGGATCTGTCTCCCAGTTTTACCGCAATACTCTCATGGCATTTCCTACGATGTTTGGTCAAGTTGTTGTGGTGTGTACTGAAGTGAGTTTGGGCTATTTCTGTAAAACATGAAGGATGTGTCACATTTTTCTGGTTGGCTGTACAATTACAGCCCTTGCCTTACATCTTGCTTGCTTGGTGGGAATACTGTGTTCCCAGTAGTGAAAGGACACACGCGGGCATTTTAATTTTGTCATCTACTTCTTAGTCCTAAACACAGTGAAATATTTAACCTTTTATCATTCTCCCAGGCAAGGTGAATGCATTGCAAAATCAGGTTTAAAATTCTCAGTTGAAAGAGGTATTTGAAAGAAGACCAGTGTATTAGGTCCTCATTTCCAGAAATAAAACAAGAGGGATAAAACCCCAAGCCTGCTTTACTTGATGTATTCAGTAGAAAGATCAGAATGAACGCTGAATAAATCTGCTGTTGCACTGGTTGTAGGTTTATTGGCTTAAAGCTCAGTAACAGTTTGGGTGTAGAGAGCTTCATCCAGCGTGACAAGAGAAGCTTTGTTTTGAAAGCACAGGAGAGGACATAGAACAATTGAACTTTGAGGCAGGGATCTGTAGATGAGTCCTCACCTCACATAAGTGCTTCAAAAGAACTTGGAAAATCCATATCACTTTTGAATGAGCTGTTATTTTGTAGCAAGGAGAATGCCTGTAGTTTCGGTAATTTCACTGGTGCCTTGGTACACAGCAGTATTAAACATGCACGCTCAAACCATCTTTGTATTTTCAACATTTGCATAGCAGGATCTAAGGTAAAAAGATACATTGAAACAGCAGAACAGATCATTTTGCTCTGCAAAGATTCACTGTATTAATATGCAGTACCATCACATTTCTCATTTATTAATCTGTGAATTTAAAGGTCTTGGGAGCAAGGATTGCTGCTTCTGTTATATTTGTGCAGAATATTCCAGTTTCTTAGTGCTACCTTTATCCAGAAAAAGTATCTTTCAAATCTGTGTTCAACATGATCTATCCCGTATAAATAATTACAGCATCTTTCTTGAAGGGACTGTGTCATGGGAGGAAGAAGCAGTCTTGGCAGATTTGCACCACGTTTCACCATTAGTGACCAGCTGCAAAGTGATTCTGTTCTTTCATAAAATTTTATTCAGGAAAAATATTCAAAGAGTTCCTTGTGCCTGCTGATGGTGGTATTTTGCTTTTTTGAGAAATACACATTGTGGAATGGCATTTGCAATGCATCAGATAATGTCAGATGATCTTGTCTGAGTTTACCAGTTGCCCTACAGCTCTTGGTCTGAAATGCTTGTGAAAGATTAAAAAAGGACTAACAGGAAGACGTTTCACTGCGCTGCTCTTGTATTGGAGAACTGGTGACTTGTTTGACTGATGATGCCTTTCAGTTAAACGCTAAGAAAAACATTTAGTTGTCTAAACACAGGCCACCTTCAAGCACCTTGAATATCTGTGGGCAGCTTGGACCACCAAGACCCTGATGCCCCTCTGTAGCAGCAGCTGAAGAGCAGATGGGGCTGCAGAAACAGCTCTGGACAGTTGTGTTCAGGCAGCAGAGTTATTGTTGCAGATTTTGGTTAGTTGTTTTGAAGGTGACCAAAGCTCTGCCCCGATGACTGGGGCAGCATTGCTTGTGTAGACTTCTTTTCTCTAGTAAAAGTGAGAGATATTGAACTCCGATTCAGATTTGGAGGAGCTAAAAAATATGCTGAAGCAAGAAATGCATTGATAGAAACCAAATTACTGTTTGTCTCATGGTTGAAGGTGACATTAATTAATACAACTTTTTAATGAAATAACGTTCCCCCAAAATAGCCTATATGGAAATGATTACTTTTTGATTCTGATGTGACATTCACATAATATCCATTTGGAATGCTTATGTAATCTTCCCCCTTCTTTTTTATTCCAGATGTAAAAATGATACTGACCGTCACCATGAAGAACTGTTGTCATTCCAAGTCATCACTACTCCACTGAGTTCACCAAGCCTAGCGATTGCGGCCAGATGTTCAAGACTTAAATGCCAATACCAAACTCCATTTTAACATTTTTGGTCTATATTCCCTTACAATCTTTCTTGTTTATTTTTTATAACCACTTCTTAACAATCTTAGATTTATTTTTTTTAAATAAAGTTTTAGAGGTTACGATCTTCTTTTGCACAAATACTTGTATTTTTGAAGCAGATTCCTGATTACATGAAAGTGAACAAAAAAGTCTAGAAAGCATTGTTCACTGGAACACATAGTAATTGTGCAAGAAGTTGGATCTTTACTAACTTAGATAGAGTTTTTTTCCAAATATTTCAAGTGAAATCTCTTACTGGAGTAATTTACAGATATTTTTTTCAGATTATTTGGGTAAATATATGGTATCAAATAACAAAGATTTTTATAAAAAGACAACATTTCCTAAAATTTGAAAAAATATATTTCTTTGGATAAATTTTATACTGATATCTCTGTAACTCTTTCTGTTCTAAGGTTCTCCTCTCTGTGGAGCAGAGATGCTGTGACAGCCTATAGAGGAGAAGGAGTTGCAGAAGCATTTCTTCTGACTGAGCACTGTGTTCTTTTTGCACTTTGGTGCCAATGCTCAACTTCTTGCAGATGTTTTGTTGTCTGCAGCATTCCAGATAAGGAAAGAAGGAAGAACAAAATATCTTTCTCTTCTTCCAACAAGAGATGATCTAGGCAGCTTAAAACCTTAGTGCTCTTTTTTCTTACTGTGTCCAAACTTCAACACTTCCATTATTTGAATACGTGTGTAGAATGCTCGCTTGCTATTAAACTGCACTGTCTCCATGTTAGAACTGACATTTCTGTTTCTGAGAAGGTAAACGTTGCAGATGCTTCGTCTAACGGTTAATGCGGGGGTTTAGGATACTGAGTAGAAGTGTATGGTGGACTCCATTCATAAAGTAATAAGTACTATCATTTGAGAATGCCATTGAGCAAAACCTGTTAATTATTTTGAATATTTTTATTTTGTTCTTATGAGGGGAGGTTGTTTGGGGTTTTTTTTGCTGTTGACCCTGTGTATAGTTAAAATGCCAAATTAGATTTATAGCAGCTTGAAGTTGTATTAAGTGATATTTTGCTTTCTGTAATTCTGTTAAAAAATAAAGTTGTTTATTCTCTGTATGACTTCTGGCACTCAGACATAAACTTGGAAGATACTTAAAGTGAGCAAGTCAGTTATGAGAACTGCACTTCTAGAGGCCACAGTACTCTGAAAAGCGGGGATTAGTACAAGTAGTCTCCAAGGTTACCAGAAGGGTGTCACAATTGTCTGGCTTCTAATACTGATGGTGAAGTATGAGTATTTTTCAGATGTCTTGAGATACGCATCATGGTTTCTGTGGTTCAGAGAAGGAATCTTCAGATGCAAAACCAGACGAGATTTAGATAGCACAGCACAAGTTAATGCCCCTCAGTCTACAAATGGTTCTACAGAGTTCAGTAAGTTAGGCTGTACTATGGTCTTCAAGTAACAAAACAAATAATATGATTTCTCACCTCACTCTTTTTGACTTCTGAGCAATGTATTTTTCGTACTATTCTCAGTTTAGATTGCTGCCATCTGACAGCATGCACGCTTAACCTAGTTTTGGCTTCATATAGTTTGGCTAACATAAGACAGCAGAAACAAAAATGCTGATTTCTCTGTAATTGTAGGCGTTCTCAGTTACATCCCATGTTACCCAGAAAAATAGCAGATAACAATCTTACCTGCTTCTCTTAAAAAACACAGGCATTCTGCCTTTCAAAAAGGGGAAGAGAACCCCACCCAGCCTCATGGCATATGAATGCTGCCACAGCGCTGCACATAAGTAGGGAGGTTGTTGAGGAAGTAGCAAGTTTGGGATTTCTAAGTGGAGGTAAAAGTGGAGATGCCTGTATTTAGGCAGATGTCTTAATGGAATTTTTTTCATACAAAAATGTGTAAGAAGCTCTATAAAATCTTTCAGGTATATTTGACATGGTGTAGTGTTAGTTGCAGATTTCTTTTGATGGGAGGAAGGTGTATTACTTCAATTTCTAATCGATTTGGCTATTTCTGATTTGTCAGACATTAGGTCAGTATTGCTTTTTATTGCAGTTTTATTTAATCCTTAAAATCCTTAAAACTGCAGTATTACTTTAACTGGGAGGTGTATTTCTTCAAATACTAATCTAGAACCTTTGGTAAGGGAAAAATTAATAGTGCTTTCAGGACAACATAGCTCATGCGTAGCTATCACTTCCATTGATTACACATGTACTAATTAAACAACCATTGTCATGCAGAGAAACATAAACCCCAAGTGTGATCAATCCTAAAAATAGATTTTACAGATTCTGCTTGTATGTAATTATTCAAATGTTCTGGAATATTATGCAATTCTGATGGGTTTTCATTGTTACTTTTTTATATAATACAACTATAGCAAAAACAGCAACATGCATCAAAAGAAATTGTTCTCAAAGCACTTCAAAAGCTGGCTTTATAATACATAGGCAATTTCAAATACAATCACTGGCCCATTTAATGAAAAGATAGTTCGATAATTAATTCTGCTTAAATACTTAGAAAAGTAAAAAGCCACATGGATCCTACACAAAAATATTTAATATGTCCTTTTCAGTCATGATCACCTAAGACCTAAGGATGTGTAATAAATGTGGGACTTACTTCTACAGGTTATTTCCAAGACTAAGGTTCCATAAAAGACATGCAAGCGACTCTGGTGACAGACGGTTTAAAAAAACAAAACAAAACATGATTTAGTGCTCAAAGCACTGAGCAATCCAATACAAAGTGTTTCTTGAAGTATTCTTTTATTTGACAATGCCAGCTGAATGGCAAATTTTAGTCTGGCCACAGAAGAAATCAAATAGATGGAATAAAATAAATTACTTACCGTATCAAAGGTCAGAGTCTGTGAGATTTGATGGCAATTGAAACAACAACTGTACCCTTGGCAGGGATGCAGTGAGAGCTTCTCAGCTTTTAGGCACATTGACTGTGGAAGTGGGCTTCCTGGAGCAGCTGGCATCCTGCACTGTTGACCTGACTACACCTCTGGAAGGTTTGAAAATTGATTTTCAGGCTGCTCAGTTGTTTGGGGTTCTTCCGTACTGCATTTGAAAAAAAATATATACTTGGGTTAGTAATATTAGTACAAATTACAAGGTAGCCTCTGCTATCTTTATTTGACAGCATCACTGTAAATGCTTGAAGACACACCTAGCAGTCATTCTCTTTCAGTGATTCCCCAGCCAAAAGCTATTCCACAGTTCTTCGACATTCTTACCACCTTTCTCGGTTCCTTTCCTACTTAAATGTTGAGACTCTAAATTCTGTTCTTGGAAGGGAAGAGGAAGCAATCACAAATAGGCAGGAAGGTTTTAAACATGCTTACTGGTTGTAGATGGAGTGGAATCCTAGCTTCACATTAGTGGTAGTGACACGAAGACAGGACTCCTCAGTGATAAGAATGATTGGAGAGAAATTATTTCACTGCAATCACTGTTTTCATATATATTTAGAGAAAGCTTTTATAATTTATCTAGACAAAGACTTAGTTCTGTGGGGTTATTTGAATAGATTTTTTTTCCTTTTTGAAGAAATTCTGTAAAATACCATGATACTTTTCATGACGGTAGCATGAAGACAGGTATTTTTTTACTCAGTAATGGAACTGAAAAGAACAAAACTTGAGGGTTTTCATGAGATGTTACTGAATCATGAATGTTAGATCCGTTGTCTTGTTAGAGGTTACAGCTCAATAAGCAGTTGTATCAAAAGCATCCAGTGTATCTGCGTAGTATTCTCTTCAGTATCCGTACCACCACTTCACAGTAAAGTGCTGTTAAAGAGTGATACCACTTTTCAACATTTTAAATCTCTGTGTTCTTAGTCATTTTTTGAAATCAGCAAAATCAGTTTTACGTTGTGCTAAGGCTTACTAAACTTCTGTATTGTTACATGTAGTCTGGACTAATCTTTTCTTGGGTGGTGGGGGAATGCACTTTGGGAATTGGAGGTGTATGTGTTACAATTCCTTTCAGTATCCAAAATTACTGCTTTTCTATTGGCAGCATCTTTCTTAAATCTAAGAAGGCATTTCTTAGCAGCAGCTGTCTCAACTCTTCTGCAAAGGGTTGTGTAGATTGCAATTTAGTTTAGTTTACATTACACAGAGTATTTAAAGGGTTTTTTTTAAAGATACCAGTATTACAGAAGTATTTATGTACTCAGGTAGACAATAGTTTTACTGGTGTGACTGAAGAATCTGCTCTTTTTCCCTTCAAAGCTACCAGTCTACTTAGAAAGCAAGGATTTGTTATCTAAGGTTTATGTAGGAAAACAGGAACCGTTCCATAGCACAGGATACTGAATCAGTTGGCAATATGTCCTGTGTGTTGCAAGGATCCGTATCAGCTGCTTCTGAGGAAATTGTCAGACACTTAAATAGCAAATGATGAAATAACAGACTTCTGGAGAGGTGCAGAGCAGAGTCATGGCAGGAGGCCAGTAGATCAGACCCACTGATTCTGTGACGTGTTTTTCTGAGTGAGGCAGCGGTAAGCAGAGGGGGATCATTAGACTCAAACTTTGAGATCTCTCTCCTTGGACGCTATGTTATACCCGGCTTTAACTATTGGAACTCTACTATCTGCAGTGTGTTTAACATCACAGCCTACAGGAACCCTGGCACTGAAGAAACCGTGTTAACCAGGAGAACGCACCTTTTTGTCTCTGTTAATAATAGCTATATGTGTTAAGACCACTTTTCTTAAGAATCTTTATGTATTACATCTTGGTGTCTCAATCTCTATGTGATAAGCATTCATAAATACACTTCTGACACTGCATAACAACTGTCTCTTGTTCTTTCTTTCCGTGAACCTTAAGTACTTTACATAATGACATAGATCTAAGCTTAGAAGCTTTAAAAAGGAAACAAAGCATCACATTCTTTTCCATCATCACTACTTTCACAGGATGTTGATGGAACTTTCAATGAGAGCAGCTTTATTTTGTTTGCCCACTGCCAGTACTTAGAAATACAAGAGCAGAGTTTTCTGGAGGTAGGAGTAGGCCAGTATTGAGACCTTTGGAAATTCTGCCTCTACAGTCCAGTCTGGAAGCACTAGGTGTAAAGAAAGTGTGCGCTGCTTTGGACTGTGTTGCTCTAGATCTGCCACGCAGTAGAAAAGTCCAGGTAGGAGAGGAGCTCAAGGAGCAGGCATTCCCCAATGTCCTGAGTAGCTATGAATGTCTACTCAACAGCTGGGTGATAGGGAGCTGTTATGATTTCCTTGTTGAGAACTGCCTTTGGAGTGCTGCTGTCTTTTTGCTCTCTGAAACACTGTTTATTGCTAGTTAAATTTTTGATGTGAAGTGTAAGGATCAGAGGACTTGCATGCTTTTCTCTTACTGGGAAGAACAACTTAATACAAAGAGTAAAATCAGAAGAAAAGTGTCTTCAGCCTTTTGATTGCAGAATGTTGGCAAAAAACTTCCAGTGCAGGTGGGGCATCTTGAAACACACAGGGAGCCTGTTAATGGGCATCTGACTTGCCAGCTGGATGTGGGGAGCCCTGCAACTGAACTGCAGATTCCTCTGCCAGTTGACTAAGATAAACTTGTTTTTACTATCTTTGTTCTTCCAGGTTTTGCTGTGGTTCTCCTACAGGGTTGCTTCCTTTGAAGTCTGTACATCTATTTCGTATTTAGCTTTTGCAGTTCATGCTGATGGTGTGATTTTTGAATAAATGCCCAGCTTTTTCCACCCAGCACCTTCTGCTGAATTCAAATGGGACTACAAAGTACTTTGCCTGTTAAAACATAAGTATTCTTTTGAGAACCTAAATAGAGACTACTGGATCTAATTAGAGATACTGACATTTAAGTGTCCTAACCTTTTCTTTCACTATACAAATGTAGAGGTAGCTCTTTGCAAGTCATGAACAATTGGCTCTTTATCTGTTCAATGCAGTGTATTCTGTGTTATTTGCATAGACATAAACCAGTGTGATTAATTATGTATTTTTAAAAATAGAGTAGTGTTAAAATGTGATAGAGGATTGTTATGTATAGTAAAGGTATTTGCTCTTTGAATCCTGTTTTCTTTTCATAGAGTTTGATAAATTGCCGTGTTAAACCTGAGATCATGGCCTCATAAGTGTTCTTATAAAATGATAGAAAGGAGTTCTTAAATGTCTATGAGAACCAAAATTGTGTAAAACCACAGATAATCTCAGATAATACGTGTTCTCAGACATTTAAGAATTATGTTTGAACATAATTATGTATCTCTTCTTGCAGAGTGGGTAATGACAAACAGCTGTAATGAAAGGTAATTGCAGACAGCAATTGCTATCAGATACAGACAGTAAATATCAGGGACAGTAATGATGGTCACTTCTCATTCTTCATCAGTTTGGGTTTAAACTTGACAATCAGAAACAGAGAAGCCGAAAGGCAATAGTACTTTCGCACAACTTGACTTGCATTTTTGTGGGCATCTGCCACAGCCAGTCTGAGCTGCAGTTAAAAACTATGTATCTACAGCTAATAGAGGGGGGAGGAAGGTTCTTTTATGTGTGATACGACATGTAACAAAAAGAAAACAATATTTTGTCTGAAAAATCACACATTCATCCTTAAATTAAAATAATAACTGTTTTACAGAATATTCATGGTTTCAAAATTTGGCATGGTCAGTCCCCAGAGAGAAGTCCTTTTGTTTCCCGTCAGTGTTATATTTCACTTCCAAATTCTATGGGAAGCATACTTTAGAAAGCCTACAATCTTTTCCAAAGTGTACAAGTTAATAAAAATGTCGGTTCCCCTTCATAATCATTCTCAATTTCCTAGATGCCAGTGCTTTATATGAACTTGCTATTTATGCATCTTCAATTTAATAAAACTGCCTTCCTTGTATACGCCAGCTCGGCTCTCTCAGGAGCTGCTTATTCCATAGCTTGCTCTCTGCTGTGGAATGAGTTGGATTAAGTACTGGTTACTTGGCCTCCTGGAAAAGCAAAACTGTCACAAGGCTTTCTGAATGGCAGTAGCTGTTTCGTTTGTACGGCACGACACTGATTTCTTCTCTCCATGTTTTCCTCCATGGTAGTTATCTACAGCTGATTATTTTTAAACCTGCAGAGCTGAGGACTGGGTTTAAGCTTGCTTCCTGAGATGGGAAACTCCCTTAAATGCCCTTGCGTTCTTGCGGTTTTTTGTGGTTTTGTGATCTCCTGGGTTTCTGCCACTGGCCATGGTGATTCGGGAGGGCACTCCTGGCGTCTTCTGCCATGGCCAGTTCCTCGTTAACTGAAAAATAAACCAAACAATACAAAATTCCATAAGAATGTGCTAATTTCCTTTATAGAGAAAAGGAGCTGGCATATATTAGTAAGAACTAATCAAGTTAAATTGAAGGTGCCTAAGTAGCACATTAGTATTATTTGCCCATGCTCGTAGAAGAAAGTCTTCTGAGTGTGAGATTGGGAGTGCACCTATGGCCAGTGAAGCTCTGGCACAAACTCTATTGACATAAAATTCTTAAACACCCTCAAGGAGAGCAGTTGATTTTTACTGGCAATTCACATTCTGCTTTACTGTGGCAGTGCTGTAGGAGCCTCAAATTGGCATGACCCTCCCCATGCTGCCTGTGGTGCAAACAGAAAAGGAAAACTATTTCTGCCCCCATAAGCTGGCATCTGCAGAACAGGACAGTGTTGTCAAAGGCTTAGAGAATATTTGGAGAGCAATGGAGAAACAGAGAAAAGAAAAAAAAAATAAAAAAGACCGGTTAACAGAAAATGGTTTATCATGGGATATTAGCTTCCCTTGTCAATGCTAGCCGTTCAGGAGACATGTGTGCTGTTTTGTTTGGTTTAGTTTTATTTTTAAGGAATCTTGAAAAGATGATACTGAAGTAGAGTTTGATATATTTACATAGAGCCTCTCTCTTGCTGCACAGAGGAAAATTAAATGCTTATTTGACAATGAAACAAGGCAGCCTTGCTTTTAGTAATGCAAATTTGATTTTTTAATTTTTTTTTTTAAAAAGACATCTAAGGAAATAGGCACTTAAAGCCTGCTGAATTTCTGAGCTTTTGTCAGAGAGGGAGTATTGGCATTTAAAGGCGTCTCTTCTCAGGCTGGTCTGTGATCATTTCATTTCACCTGATGGCCTGAAGCTGGCTTTGCTGCCTTTACAGGGAGAGCTGCTTGGGATGGTTTGTGTGAGCTGGCTGGAGGCCTGAGCAGTACGTTGGACTCTGGCAGTTTCAGGTCAAGTAAAAGAAAGGCTTGGGGCTAGAGCTGGGACTGCAATGCCTGAAGTATTAAATAGGCAGGAATTCAGCTTGCATCCTCTGTGATCTGCAAACTGAGAATCTCCTTCCCTCAGGCACTGAACAGCCAGGGGATTTGCTTCAAGCACCTTTTTCAGTTATAAAAGAGAGAAGAGTAGAACTAACGTTCCTTGGCAAATTAGTCTGCCAGCTACTTCATTCACTTCTCTCTCTTAAAGCCTCGATTGCTAATCTCAGAAAATTTACAAAATCATTACTATCTGAAACTTGCTACAAATCCAAAGCTAAAAATTCTGTGCTTTAAGAGAAGTGGGATTTAACATCTTGTTCTGCAGATTATTTACAGACCTGCAGAAAGGGCAGCTAAGGAGGAGGTGGGCTTGGTGGAAGAGGGCAGGCCAGCTTCTTTTAGCAGTTGATGGTGCAGCATGTATGTGAATGTCTGTGGATTTTTTCAGATGGGTTCTTTTGGCTTAATAAAAGTATTGTCTGAGCCTGAGCAAAATACCTGGACAGGGGATCTGTAACCCACCTGCTTTTCCTGCTTCCCTTGATCCTAGCTGGAATAGAAAAAGCAAGAGCAGCACCAGTTAAGAATGAGTTCAGTACTGTCTCAGTATTACTTTGTAATGACTAAAGTCTACCACAGATGGGCACAAAAATGATTACCTGGTAAAAGGGAGAATCACTGCTTTTATCCAAAGTCTAATGTAGGAATTTTATTAGCTTACATTTCAGCCTTTTTGAAGAAAGTCTCAGTATTTAGTCTTCCTGTTCCTTCATAGATATGGAATTGTGTGATGTTGTTGTACTACACCATTTTTCTGATTGTTGTTTATTAGTGTGTGAAAAACTGTCAGCACTTTACTCTAAGGATAACTTATAATTGAAGGCAGAGCTGGGTTAGGCATGCGGAGCAGGCTTCCCTAGTTGATTAATTCAGCATCTGAAAGCACATCTTCAACAGGAAATGTTTGAATTTTAGCAGCCTGAATGTAATTTGTGGGGTATGCTTGTATGCAAACACCCTTCCTCTCCATTAAAGCCTCAGGTGTAAATGCCTGGAGATGTTGTATAAAATAGAAAGTGACTTCATTCTACATTTCTGGGTATGTGTGGTCTTTCCTACTTTTAGAACTGTATTAAACTGCCCAATTTTCAGGATTTTTGAAGACAGTGGGGTAGAGCAAACCTAATAAATGTACATATTGGAGTGCTTGATCTGGCATCCAGATAAGCATTCTTCCTTAGCCTTGCAGTATTGGGTAAAGCTATCTGCCTTCTTTTGGCCAGCTCAGAATGAATCCTTCAGCTTATCTGCAGAGCACTCCCATCAGGGTTGTTCTGCCAGCCCTAGCCAAGTCCCTGCTTTTGAGATCATGGGTGAGCTGCTAGAGCTGAAACCTGCAGTGTGTGGACTGTTGTCCCAAGCAGGGTTCTCGCCAAGCCAGACCAAGTAGCATCTGAAGTCTGTAGAGGAAATCTGTGATGTCATCTTAGCTCCCCTGACACTCCTTATGGAGAAAAGATTGAAAAGGCAGCTAATCTGAGGAGTAAGCTTAGTCCAGTGTCTGTAAGAACATGTTTTGAGAGGGCTGAAGGAAAAGAAAGATGAGGACTTTGAACTGAACATGCACCAGGGCTGGCCCTGGCAGCTGGAAGCCTAAAATAAGAGCAGAGCATGTGTGAATCGGCTGCTGCAGCTGGGACTCCACCCCGGGAGGCAGTGTAGGTCATCCCATTAAAACTAGATGGCCTGATGTACAGGGTTTTCTCTTCTAAAAGAAGAGGTCCCTGCCTGCTGCAGTTGCAGGCCCAGTTATCTTTTCTGTGCAGGACCAGTCAGTCTCCATGAGCAGCCTCGGTCTGCAGCACCCAAGTGTGTCGCACTCACTGTGCATTTGCTTGTGAAGAAGTGTTTCTTGTTTCGCTTTTACTCTGAAGATAGATTTATGAAGTGAGTGTATGCTGATTTTTAAAACAGAAAAGGCAACATGGCAAATGTATAAAGTAAAAGCAAATGCATATCTTTGAAGGAACACAGATGTGTACTCAATAATCAGCTACTTACAGGGTCTAACTGCTGGTACCTGTCTGACTGAAGACTTGCACAACAAAAGCACAGAGGAAAAGTTCTGTACTTTAACTGCTCTTTCTCCATTTTGGTTGCCTCTTCTATACTGTGACATAGAAAATATTCTATAGGACGGTATGTAAAACTGTCGGGTTTTAAGTGAGGGTTCAATACAAATTCTAAACATATTCCTGTAACATTTTTCAAACGGAAAATGGTCTAAAATGCCATATAACTTCACAACATTTGTTATAATTGTAGTTCTCTCCAGTTTAGTTAGTGGTACAAGCTTAACAGTAGCCTGTTGAATGAGAAGTTTTCTCTGACTACCCACTCATTGCCCCCGAGTCCTGACTCACCTTCTGATAGTTTGATCATGAAGTAGGCAATTAGCAGCAGCAGGAGTAAAGTCACAGGCAGAAAGATCCCAGCAAAGAGAACATAGCCAGGCAACTCCCTCATAAACACAGAAAATATGTAACTTATGCTCATTTTCCTCTGCAGCAACTGTGCTAAGCAAGATCCTTCAGGTCTCCAGGTATGGACCTTGTTTATCCTGCTTTCTTCCTTTTTTCACCCTGCATCTACACTCTGCCCTTTGCTCAGGCTATTATCTCTGTTTGGACTTTGATTTATTTGTGTAGGCCCGTGATTCCCAGCAGGACTGAGAGTTCACTTGCAAAGTTACTCAACCACAAAGTTTAAAAGTTCCTATCAATGTAGAGCTTTGAAACCTTTGGATATGTCGGCTGGGCAGGGCTCAATGTGTGAGGCTGCTGCCTTTTGAGAAATACTGGTTCTGTCATCTGCTGATGTTTACACACAATTCTGAATGATAAGCACCCTCTTTTTAGCTATATTATTAATTTTACAATAGATCTTAAATGCTCTGTCAGGGTGAAGACCCTGTTATACATACCACACAGGCATGCTTGTGCTCTCTGCTCTGAAGATCTCTCAGACCAGACTGCTGAGGCAAGCAGTGAGTGACTGAGTGGATGCTGCACCAACAGCACTTTTTTGTCAAAGAGCAGCTGCAGAGCAGTGAAACTCACGAATGTTTTTGGTTTTGTTTTGTTTTGAAGTTGAAAATATGTGACTGGGCAGAGCCAGACATGACAAAGAAATCAAGAACCTCTTAAACATTCAAGTAAATGGATTAGAGCTGTTCAGTGTGCTTAGTTTTCCCCATCTGTTACCAGCCCACGGCAGAACTGTGTCTAGGATGCATTGATTGGTTTATAAAGATGATTAATCATTTTATAGCCCTTCCCTATACCTTCAGGTTTCTAAAAACATCTGGTGAGTAGACCTGATGACTTCAAAGTGCTATTGCATGCATATTGCATGGACTTCACTTGGGGGGCATGCAGAATCTCACTGTTTGACCTTGCATCCCTGCAGAGATGTGCTTCAGGTTGTTGGAGATCACGATAGTTTACTTGAATATTCAGCCTTGGGCTTTTCAAACTTGATGCCTAATGAGGGTGTCAGGTTACATTAAGTACTGTGGGTTTGTGGCTTCAGCAGCTTGTTATGATGTGGTCAAAATATCTGGCTTGTTTCATGTGCATTTGAGACATAGTAAGGATTTTATTTCTTTAATATCTACCAAATCTGAAACTGGACCACGAGCACAAGGTAAAAATAACCATGTACGAGATTTGCTTGGCTAATTGGGTAGGTGGGTAGGCTGGAGCCAGTGCAAAGCACAGCAGATTTTTAGATTCTCAAGGGAAGGAGATATTCCTGTGTCCACCTTGTTTTCTTCACCTAGAGTATTCAAAAGGTAAACAACCTATTCACTTAATAATTATTTAAAGTTTTAAAATTATTTTTAACTGTAATGTATTTGGGATCCTCCTGACAATAAGTGATGGAAAATATCATGTTTGCAGGCATTCCTATTTTTTTTATCATCTGCTGTTGTGATTGATTAAAAAAAATGAATGGAGTGTGCCCTATTTCTTGCTTATATTTGTTTGGCTTCATCTTCTAACCATGTTTTTCTTCCTTTTCCCACTTGATGTTTGACCTCATTCATAAAGTGCTTTATGATCTACTGATGATGAGCATGGATTAGAAGCCTGGTAGTGAGGATATTAATATTATTACAGGCCCATCTGTTGCCAGATAATTCCATCCTTGCATAGTTACCTGTCAGCTGTGATCAATAAATTCCTTAAACTGTTGTGGTGGGGTTTTTTGCACATAACACGTTACTTCAAAATTTGTTTTTAGGCTATCCTGAATGTTAGTGTTCTGGTCTGCAAAAAAAATACAATATTTTTATTAATTCTCCTCAGGATCCTTTTAAAAATTCCTTCTTAATAGTGTTCTTAAAAAAAAAAAAAGTATCTTGAGCAATTAGAGAGCTCAGTCTGTGAGACTAAAGTCCGTGACCGAATTCTGTGACATTGCGAAATGAGCTGGGGTGGGGGGAGTTCTCTTTGATATGTGTGCATGGCTCACGGTGACGTTAATGGGAGCTAAATACCTGCCTACAAGAGCAAAACAATCACTTGGATTTTTTTAATTGGTTTTCCTTATGCTCCTGAGATATTAGTTCTTTCTGTCAAATGCAGCAGAGATGATGAAGGATGTGTCTGTTGTCACACCTGACTGCCGTGGGGCCAGACAGCTGATAGACACCGAGCAGACAGCTTGGAAGCGGTTAGTTTCTGCCCAGGAAGAATAAGAAAATTTTCAACCCTCTACATTTTTGTAACCTCCTTGTGACATGGCAGCTGTGAGCTCTGATCACAGCAGTTACGTGAAGTACAAAACTTGGCTAGCGGCTGTTCAGCACGGCAGATGTGTAGAGCAAGTGTTCCCGTATTGAATCAGGACAAATGCAGGTGGAAACAAGTTGAGACAGGCTTTTGCTATGAAGGCAGCTCAACCTTTTTTCCCGAGTTGGTTGGGATGGCAGCGAGTGTTCGCAAAGCCGAGGGGAGCAACGTTTGGCAGAGAGGGGCTTCTTCACCCCGACCAGCCTTGGTCTGCAGTGGCAACACCTCGCGTTGTCTCTGCTGTGTGATCCTGCCTACCACAGCCAAAGCAAAATGGGGAAATGTGGGCCAGGCATGGATTTGAAATATATGGCTTCCTGAATGATCTGTGAAGCATGGGTGTATTTGGGAAAATAGATGGATTCACAAGCTTTGTGAAAATATTGCAAACTTCTCACCAGCTGGAAAGAAGCAACCGATTGCTGCTCCACCCCCCCAGCGCTGCTGGCTCTATACAGGACAGATCTGCCCAAAGCTCGCTTTCTGGCTCGTGGGAAATTTGTCCATTTCAAAATTTTCCTTTTGTCTTGAATCAGAAACTTAATTTCCTGTGAAATGGAATTTAAGGAACATTAATTTTAGAGCCACTGAAGCTCTTATTTCACCTATATCATTTATTTACAGAAAATATGAATGCAAATGAGTTCATTCAAACTTCAAATCACTTCTATTTCCAAAACCTGCCGACATTAGAAATGGTGAACATTATGCTTATCTTGTTGGAAGGAATTACTTCAACTTCTCATCATTGTGCATGTATTAAACAACACATTCTTGCTGAAAATTTTCATTCGATCACAGTTTCCAAAGGAAAACTTTGTCTTAAAATTTCTAGATGGCTTTGCTGGATAGTATAAAAAGGCAAAAGTGTTACCTACTGGAGCTGAGAGGAAGGGGTAAGATCTGCCTGTGAAGACTCAACCACAATAAACAAAAAAACTCGTTACTGCAAGTGACTGAGAGCCTTTTGAGCAGTAGCCGAGATGCACACATTCATACAGGCAAATTGCCAGTGTGCACTGCAGCTGAGCTGGAAGAGCTGGGGTTACTCCTCCTCAGGGAAAACACTGAAAAAGTTGCTGCAAGACTGAAACATTTAAAAAATCAATGTTTGTGTAGTTATGGTGGAAAGAAGAGGTGGTGTAGACTCCTGTTTCTCCCTAAGCCAGGGTTAAAACTGGATAGTCACATCAATGTCCCCTGGCCCAGAAGGCATATTGGTAAGCTGAGTCCACCACTCAGGAGAAACATTTAGAATGGAAAAAGGGCTTTAGTTTTCTGGGCTATCAAGATAATAGGCTTCCTGGAAAGTGTATTAATTTTATTAAATTTAAACACCAAATGAGCATTTAGATGTCATCTTTCTCCTGGATGTTCTGCTAGAACACCAAAATCCTTTATTCTTCTGTTCAACCTAAATTCAGTAAAGGCTGTATTAGATCAAGTAGTTTGGTATCTTTATTATTACAGGCAATTTCATTTCCTTCCATGTCCTTTGTAGAATCCAATAAATTGTTTAAGTCTTGATTTCCTGAAAAGCATTTAGCCATGGTTTGAAAGCATGAGCAGACAAAGAACCATCTGCCTCTTTCCATGGCTCGTTCATGATGTAAAAGGCCTCGTGTTTGGTTTAGAGTTTGCCATCCTTCTGCTTCTAACCACTCATTCTGCTTTCCTTTTTCCTTAGTGGGTCAGGCAGACTTTGGGGACCTGGTGCTTTTTCCCTGTGAGAGTACTTATGCCTTGCAACATCAGTTTTCAGTCTCTTATCTTTTAAACTACACATACTGATCTTTTAATTTCTTACATTTGGGTTTGGGGTTTTTTTTCCCATCATTGAAACTTCCTTGTATATTTTCTGTGTGTTCTCTAATTTTTCAAGATACCTTTAGAAATGTGGGCATACCAAAGGCTGCGATGTCATAACAGTGTGATCTGTGACACTTCCGAAGGTAAAATTGTGTCTTTGTTCCTGCTTGCTACTCTCTTGTTCACTCATAGGAGAGTCTTACTGTCCCTGACTGCGAGAGTATTTGGAGGCATTTAGCATCATAGAATTGTTTAGGCTGGAAAAGACCTTTCATATCTTTAAGTCCACTTGCTGCATTGCGTACCTGCTCTGGCTGTTAGACCTGTTTCCAAAACAATCTGTAGGGGATGACCTGTTAATCTTGTTTCTAAATGTAAAATTTTCCTGCGGAAATGTTGCAACGCTTTTTCTTGTAACAAACCCAGCCTCTCACAAAACATCCAGATCACACAACCTAACTGCTATGTTCTCCTCATTACTTAGCATCAAGCCTTTGATCATCTGAATTTTTTAGGAGTGGTGATTTTATATCAATCTCTACTTTTTTTTTTTTTCCTCTCTCCTACTCTGCCTATTTTCTAATTAGTTGCTTTTCTAGTAAGAGCATTTTTACATTACCGTGGTAATTTTTTTCAAATTATTGATCTAGCTCAAAAGCTGCATGAATTTTTTCTGGGCTTTAAGAGAAAACTAGTAACTAGATTATTTTTAAACTGGATCCGTTCTCTGACTGAGTTTATTGTGTTGGTCTGCACAAGGGGATGCTGGCACAGCCAATAAGGCGTACAAAGGCAGTGACAAGTGGCCGTTTAGGAAAGAGTCCCTTCCCTAAAGCGAGGCAGCAAATGGAAGTGTCTCTG